GGGGGGACCCTCACTCTGACTCCTCCCCTGGGGGGGCTCTGACTCTGACTCCTCCCCTGGGGGCCCCTGACTCTGATTCCTCCCTTGGGGGGGACCCTCACTCTGACTCCTCCCCTGGGGGGGCTCTGACTCTGACTCCTCCCCTGGGGGCCCCTGACTCTGACTCCTCCCTTGGGGGGACCCTCACTCTGACTCCTCCTCTGGGGGCCCTCGCTCTGACTTTAGACCCGGAGCTTTCCTGCACCCCGTCATCCAGTGGCCTTGATCTGCAGCAGCGTAGTGAAGAGGTTTTCTGCAGTCACACACCTGGTCACGCGTGTTCCCTACTGAGGTGTCTGAACCCCCTTGAATGTGGGAGGCTGTCCGTGGACCTCCTCGCTCAGGGGGTCCTTGGCTGAGGGACAGGGAAACCGGGGAAGGGTCCCAGCCCTCCCCACCCACGGGCTTGCTCCGCCCATCCTTCCTCAGTGGCATTTGTCCAGGCACAACAGGCCCTTACGGGGCAAACCGCGGATCAGCAGTATTGTTCACACTGGGCTGCAGACCGCAAGCCTGGACACAAACACAGACAGCAAACCAGACGCTAGGTGTCCACAGGTGACTCCAGGGGACGCTGGGTGGTCGTGGGTGGCTGGGACCTGCAGCTGGTCCCCACAATTGCCCATCACGTCCACCGCCCAGAGTGCTGCAGACGGTCAGGGGACAGTGGAGCCAATGGGACCTTCCCGGGGTGACAAGGCAGGGCTCCACACCCCTGGACGCCACAGAGGCATCCCTGGGGACCCCGGGTCCTAGATCTCCTGGAAACCTCTCGTCTTGTGAAGCTAGAGAGGAACGTGGCTGAAACACTCCCTGATGGCCGGACGACGGACGAGGGGCACCGGTCAGGTCAGGCTCCCTGAAAGTCCTGAGGGCCCCTCGTGACCCGCTGCAGAGGCGGCTGAAGGACCCCCACTCCACAGCACACCGCAGGGAGGACCCCATCACGCGGTCTCTGACCCCAGGCCCTAAGGCCGCCTCGTGGTGCTGGGGGGTCAGGCCACACTGGGGAACTGAGGGGCCACATGGGAGCCATGGGCCCGTGCACCCGGCCCCGCTGGGGGGTCAGTGCCTGTCACTCCAGCCCCACAACACTGGCCCTGCTGGGGGCTGGCCGGGCACACACTCACCGTCTCCCCGGTCCTGGGCCTCCCCCTCGCGCCCGCCTCCGTGGCCACCGTCTGTGCCGTGGCTCCTCTGGCTGGTGCTGGGGCTGCAGGGTGGCGCCTCCCCACGCACGGCCTCGGTGCCCCAGGGCTCGTCCACCGACACCCCCCAGGGCTCCGCGGGCCCAGCATCTGCCTCGATGCCTCGCAAGCGGGGGCTACTGCCGCTGTCAGCTGAGCCGAGGGACGGGTGCTCCGGGAGCTGCCGGCCACCACGCCCGCTGCGGGGGGAGCCCGGGGAGCCCTTGTCACCCAGGTCTTGGTCCAGGTCCAGCGTGTCGCTGACGTAGGACTCCCGATAGTGCTGCTTCTCTGTGTGGGGACAGGAGGCACAGCGGGGAAGAGCGGGCTCGGAGGGGACACAGGTGCAGTCTTACATGCCTGGAGTCACAGGGTGCCAGCGGTGGCCCCAGGATCCTGCCCACGCCCCCGGCTGGCGCGGAGGCCCAGGGGACGCAGTGTGGGGGGAGGGAAGTGCCACCCAGGGATCAGGGCCCTGTGTACCCGTGGCATTTGTCACCCACAGCCAGTAAGCTCCGGATACGTGCCTTTGTAATGGTTCCCCGGGGCTGTCCCACCGTCCCCAGTGTCAGGGACCCCAAGCAGCCCCCGCACGCGAGCGGACATGCTCACAAGCGCACGGGCACACACGCACACTCGTGTGTGCACGGCCAGGGAGCCCAGGAGCCCCCCAGCCCCTCAGCCTTCCTGCCACACCTAGAGAATTCCTTCCCAGAATTCAAACTGTCCCCAGGCCCCATCCTCAGAATCGGCCTCCTCCCCCTTCCAGAGGACACAGGAGCCAAGAGGCCGCGGCCCCCAGTGGGAAAAATGAAAGGTGCCCAGAAGCAGCCCGGGCGGCCCCCCGGTGCCCGGCCGCGGCCGGGGCGCACCTTCCGCCTCCTCCAGCTGCTTCAGCCTCCGCAGGGTGGGTCGCAGCGTGAGCCGCAGCAGGTGGGTGGCGCTGAACAGCCGCAGCAGGTGGCCGGAGCGCGAGGCGCAGCCCGTGTAATACACCAGCTTCCGCGCCGACGGCGGCCCGTCCGGCTGGATCTCCAGCCTTTTCCCCTGAGCGAGGAAGAGGCAAGATGTAATCTTACAAGAAAACCACGTGACAGCGAGCGTGTTAAACACGGGCCGTGACCCCAGATAGGAAGCCGCCCTCGTCCCTGTTTGCAGATCCCGTTCCCGCGTGCTGGTAGGCGGTCAGAGGCGCACAGCACCCCGCGCTCAGGCACGAGAGGGCGGCCCCGGAACATCGCGGACGGCTAGACACTCCCCTCAGCCCCCCGACGGCCGCGTGCGGGGCAGCAGTCCCAGGACGGGACGCCAGGCCTCAGTCTCGCCGTCCGGAGGAAAGGTCCGCGGCAAGTCTGCGTCCAGGGCCCTCCCCGTCCTGCGCCTCAGCCCCGAGGGCCGGGCGGGGCCCAGGGAGGCCTCCCGAGGAGGCCAGGACCAAGGAACGGGGGCATCTGGAGGCTGCAGCGGTGAGTTTCCGTGACCTGATCCTCATCCCCCTTGTTTGCTCCACATCAGAACACCAGGCCACCGGCAGCAAACATGCCCTGTGGCCAGGTCAACAGGGTCAAGCCCTAGACGCCCCTGGGTGCCGGGTCTCAGGCTGTGCCTGCTCCCCATGGAGGATGAAGCCCTCCCACCTCGATCCCACCAGACACGCACCAGAAACACCAGCTTCCCGATGTGGGACCAGGGGAAGTCATAGAGCAGCTTGGGAGCGTGGTCCGCCTCCTGCAAAACCGCAGAGAGGTGCTTGGCCAGAGGATAGACCCAGTGCAAAGGTTCAAGGGGAAGGGTGGGGGAGGGCGGTGGACGGGGAGGGGTGGGGAGGTCGGGGGGGGGGGGGCGGGGGGGGGGGGGAGGGAGGGGAGGAGGGGAGAAGGAGGAGGGAGGGGGGAGCAGGTGGCCACTCCAGGGGCTCTTCCCCAGCACCTGATAGACTTGCATTCCCTTGAGGGTCAGTCCCAGGACGATGGTAGGCCTGTCCTCCTTCTTATCCTGAAAGGATGCCAACTTCAGCAAGGCGACAGCCTGTGCCCGGGGTGGGGGTGGGCCCGCCAGGGATGAGCAGGGCCCCTCTTCCCCTCTGATGCCGGAGGCCTGTCAGCCACCTCCTTGCCTCCTTCACCCCCTCAGACTTTCATGTCTCCAGATATCTGAGCCCCTTAAGCCCCGGTCACGGGCCCGGGCCCAGGCCAGCCAGCCGAGGGGACGCCGTCTGCCCGCCCTGTGCTGGGGTCGGCGTCCTGGCTGCCCACAGGCTCTGCTCCTCCGGGCCCCTCGGGCAGAGGATCTCCGAGGCGGCCCGGACTCCCGGTTCTGCTGGGGCTTGACCCTGTCGACCTTGTACAGCCTGAAGAAGTGGACGGGCACGTCCTCGAGCCGGCAGGCCTCCCTGATGAAGCGCAGCACTGCCTCCTTGGGGTCGAGGCCCCGCTGCTCACGGTGCACGGCGGGCGCGTGCCTGAGGATGTAGGCGCTGCCCCTCTTGGCAATGATCTGGGGAAGAGGCCGCGGGCCTGTGAGGCCCTTCCCGCTTTCCCTCCGCCCCCTGCGGCCCCTCACCCTGCCCTCCCCTCTCGGGGACTCCGCACCTGGCCCGGGGGGCAGGGAAATGGCTCCGCCGGGCTCCGCAGCCTTACCCACTGCGGAAAGTAGGCTTCCGGTTCGAAGTACCTCCCCACGTGGACCAGCTCCCGGTGGTTGCCCAGGTCGGCCTGCAGCCCGTAGGCGGCCAGCAGGAAGTAGGCCTCCTCGCGGTGGGTGCACTCGGACCTCAGCACACGCTCCTTCAGGTGGCAGTAGTACAGGTGCCTGGCCGTCTTGTCGCTGGAAGGCGTGGGTGGCCTTGGTAAGAGGCCAGATCTGGCCCTGCCGGATGGTCCCGACACAGCCTGTGTCCTCCTGCTGCCCCCGGCCCTTCCAGAACCTTCCCCACAACCACCCAACCCCCACTCTCCAGAACCTTCCATACATCCACCCAACACCCACTCTCCAGAACCTTCCATACAACCACCCAACCCCCACTCTCCAGAAACCTCCACCCAACCACCCAACCCCCACTCTCTAGAACCTTCACCACAACCACCCACCCCCACTCCTGCCCTCCTGCAGGCGGCAGGTGCAGGGACTACCGTGTCCCCGGCACACTGACTGCATGCGCCTCACGTGCCTGGGCTCACCCGGTGGGCTTTCACGGGCCCAGAGAATTCCTCTGACATCACGGAGTTACCTTATGACCCTGCCGTCCTCCACGTAGTACTGCACCCTGAGGAAGCTCACGAAGGGCGCACGGGGCCTCCCACCCTGCAGGGGAAGCGCAGCGAGAAGACGCGGGCCGGATGGAAAGCGCCCAGGAGCTGGCAGCGGGACGGTTTCCACGGCCAGCGCCCCACAGGTGTCACCCCGGCTCCCGCTAACGCCCAGGTGGCGACGGCCGGGCACTTTCCTGATTTCCGCGATGCCGTGACTTCTCCGGAGACCCCCGGGCGTGCTGTCTGCAGCGCTCAAGGGCGCCCCGCGCCCTCCCCCCCCCCCCCCCCCCGGCTCCGCCAGCGGCAGCTCTGGGGCACCGCGGGCAGCCTCGCGGGTGGGCCGGCGTGTCCCTGCACCAGACATGTGCATGGCCGCCCTCGGGTCCGGGGACGGTCACTTACTTTGTGCACTTGCCGCTTCCAGTCCTTGGGGAAGTACTTGCTGACCTTCTGCTCCAAATCCATGAACATGAACTCGTTGTCTAAGAGGACAGGCAGGGCCTTAGCGCCACAGGGACCCTCAAGGGGTCAGCTTGTCCCACACCAGCAGGGAGGAAGCCTAGGGCTGCCTCAGGCCGTCAGGGGTGCAGGAGAGGGGGCAATTTGGGGCTGTCCCCCCGCTAACAAGAGCACAGTGGTCTCGATGCAGACGGCCTGAACTCAGGCAGAGGGCTGGCCGTGACAGAACGGACACCTTCTTTCTCCCCCACCCCCCGTTCATCTGCACATCTTGGGGAAACGGTGCTCTATACGGATAACCCTGAAGCCCCCCAATTAGAGATGAGAGCCCCCCCCACCCCGAGCCACGAGAGCTGCCCGCAGGGGGTACCATCCACTTCCTCCCTCGGGCACACAGGTGACCAGGCACCCCCCACCTGAGGCCACGCCCTTCGGAGCCCTGCGGGCGGCGCTGTCTCCCACGCGCGTGCGCAGTCCCTCCGGCTCTCCTGCTCTCCCCCAGACCCTCCACAGAGCCCGGGGGTCTGCAGAAACCAGGAGCTGGGAGGTCGCGGAGGCAACCCCAGGGCAGAAGACAAGGCTGGGCGGCTCCCCACCTCCTTCTGCCAGCACACCCCACTCTTGGCTTTCATCCATTAGAGCTCCAGGAAGGGTTTCTTCTGGACCCAGGGCTCTGCTCGGGGACAAGTGTTTCCAGAACCCCGGACACAATCGGCTCCCGGACAGCAGAATCCGAGGAACAGACCTAGCCTGGGGTTCTGTACACTGTTTTCTCCGGAAAGAACAAGAGTAGACCAGGATTCTGCTCACCCCTCTCTCCCAGAGAAGGCCAAGTGAGTGTGTGCACGTGTGTGAGTGTACGTGCGTGTGCATACAGTGTGCATGTGTGTGAGTATATGTGCGTGTGCATACAGTGTGCATGTGGTGAGTATATGTGTGTGTGCACATGCGTGAGTATGTGTGTGTGCATGTGCACGGAGTTGTGCACGTGTGTGAATGTTTGTGAGTGTGTACACGTGTACATGGAGTGTGTGCACATGTGCAAGTATATGTACATGTGCGTGCGTACATGTGCATGTGAAACATGTACACATGCGTGAGTATGTGGAGTGTGTACACGTGTGTGTGTGCATATGTATGCAAATGCGTGGAGTGTGCACGTGAGTATATGTGTGTGAGTCTGCACTGAGTATGTGAGAATGCACGGTGTGTATTTAAGTGTGTATGAGTGTGTGTGTTTGTATATATGTGTGCATGCCTTGTATACTTGTGAGTGTGCGAGCCTGAGTGTGTACACATGTGAGTGTGCTCAGAGCCGCGTGCACTCGCCCAGATGACCTGGATGCACATGAGAACACTCGTGTCCCCGTGGCCCTGAGGACCACCCCCCGCCCCAGCCTTCCCAGAAGAGGCTGGTGCCCCAAGCGGGTCCCCTGGGTGGGGTCGGGCAAGGCTGACTTACCTCTGACCACGCTGAGGCCAAAGAAGTGGGCTTCTTTGATGCTGGTCACATCACACACCCGCTGGAAGAGCTCACGACAGGTGGCCCGCACCTGCAAGACGCGGGTGGAGGCTCAGGGCCCCTGAAAGGGGTGGGCGTCCAGTGGGAGCATGAGGACCACCGCGGCTTGCCACCCAGGGTCCTCGGGGACCGCCCGAGCTGAAGACTAGGTCCCCCCACGCCCAGCAGGGCAGAAGCCTGATCTCCGGGTCCGGGCGCTGCAGGGGGCTGTCCAAGGACGGGGTGTGGGATTCTCCGCGCGCCCCAGGCCATCCTCCGCCTTTCTCCTCCCCACAACCAACCTCACCCGGGCCACTCCTGAAAGCGGGCCTGGGGTGTGGGCGTGCCCGTTGTGCCTGGGGACTGGCTTCTTGGGACCCAGAGGGGCTAAGGGGGTTTCCAGGGTCCCGGGCCCTGCCCCGTGAGCCCCGAGGTCTCGGTCTCAGTCTCGGGTCTCGGCAGGCTGGGCTGTGAGGTCTGAGCCTTGTGTCTTCAGGGCCCCGGCGCCCTGCCTCCCGCAGCGGCCTTCCCGCCTCTGCCTCCCCACAGGGCCCCGAGGCGGAGCCCCCCCCCCCCCCACCTCAGGGAGCACCGCCCCGCCCCCCAGCTCCCACTCTCGGGGTGGGGAGCTGCCTGGATTCCTGCCTACAGGGAGCCTTCTTCTGTCTACGCAGGTAAGGGCCGCCTCTCTCCGGTAACATCTGTTGTCCAAGTCGGGTTATCCAAATGACACTTCGTTTCACCTGGAAACGGAGCCGTCTTAACATCAGACATCCAGCAAGTTCGTATTTGCAACTTCTTTCCACTCTGTTGATTGGACCCTGGACCCCGGAAAGGGCCGGTGCTGGAGCAGCTGACGGCGCTGCCCGGGGCCCGGGCCCCCCTCGCGTCTCGGCTTCCGGCCGCTCCTCTGTCCCCCGCGCTTCCCGGGCTGGAGGGAGGCGCCACACGCTCCACGTGCCCTCGTGGCCAAGCCGCGTCTCTGCTGTCCTCTGGGTGGAAAATCCTGGTTCGAGGCGGGCAGCCCAGGCTCACGGCCCTCGGAGGGAGAGGACGCGTCCTCGTACGGACGGTGCGGGCCGGGCCCGTGTGCGCAGCACGGCGCCCGCGGGTTCTTGCCAGCATTGCGTCTGCCAGGAAAGCGGTGCCCCTGGGCTCGCGCAGCCTCTGTGGTTTCCGGAAGTGTCTCTACACCGTCTCAAGTCAGATGACGAGTCTCTACTTTTTAGCGGCGAGTTGCCGTGCCGCTGGTTTCGTCCCCATCCGCTTCGTGTGGCAGATGTGGACTGAGCTCTGCCGTGGCGGTAACGCGGCCGTAACTTTCTACCACCTGGATGTTCAGACAGGTGGGGGCCACACACGGGGCCGCCCCCACGGCTCACGCGGTGGGCACACCCTGAAAGTAAGCTGGCGGGGTGTGGGTGCCAAGCTGCGCGGACGGCCTCGGTCACCCCGTCACCGGCTGACTTGAGACCTCAGCCGGCGGGTTTCGCTCTTCGCTCGCTCCTCCTCCTGCTAAAACCCTACAGCGAAGCCAAGGAAACAGGCGAAAGCCGCGGTCCGGGCTCCCTGTGTCGGGGCCACAGCCCAGGCCCGCCCCACCCGCCTCTCCCCACCCAAGTCCTCCTGCTGCCCCTCCTGGGGCCTGAGGCGTCTCGAAGGAGGCAGGGACCCCCGGAAGACCTTCTGATCGGCTCCAGCTTCTCCCCACCAGACGGGTAAACCGAGGCTTAGAGAGAGTCTGTCGTTAACGCCAATTGGCATTGACTTAAACACGGAAGCGTGTCCCTGAGCAGGTAATTCCCGGGGGACTTGAACTACGCCATCGCCAGCCAGCCAGGCAGCCGTCCTGCCTGTAAGAGCATTCCACCCCCCTCCCCCCGCCACCCCCGACCCCGACCAGTCCTCGGAGGTACAGCCCCTCTCCGCCAGCCAGTCCCACCTGGTGCTGGTGCCACATTTTCATGGACACACTTCCCCTGAAAACGCAAACCCCCTCTCCGGGGCTGGCTAACTTTCCAGGGGTTTTCCTGCCCCTCTCAACCCACCCGGAACGCGAAAGGGGACGGACAAAGGGGACGGAGGTTCCTGCTCCGATGTCCCTCGGTGTCCCCAGGAAGGACATGCTGGCTGTATCCACCAGGGACCCTCCGCTCAAGGGTTAAGTGGGACGGTGTGCGTAAGCCCCCCGCGGGTGCTCCGCGTGGGGGCTTCTAGTACAGAACGGGGAGGGGTGGAGGCAGCTGAGGGCAGAGGGTGACAGTAATCTGGACACCAGAGGCCGCCTCGACTAGGAGAACTTATCATCTCACTTTTCACCTAGTTGGTAAAAACTGGAGAGGACTACCATTCCCCAACCGGACCTGACCTGTCCTGCTAACGACCCACCAGCAAGGGCCGAGAGAGCAGTTCGCATCAGAGCCCGGGAGGCTCCAAGGCGCCAGCGTGGCACCACGACGGGCCCACCCCTCTGTCCGCCCAGCGGGCCCCCACTCATGTTTGCTCCACGACTGTCCCCACGGCCCCAACGGCTGATGCGCAGCGACGGAGACCGGCACCCCTGGCCCGCCCCGCCTCTTCTCGCCTGGAGAAGCCCCATGGAATCCGGACCCTGACCTCCTGATTCTCCCACTGAGGGACGGGGCCTCGCCAGGGAGGGAGGGCAGAGCAGGACTCAGTCTGCGGGGAGACCAGACGGTGGCTGACACTTCTGTGACCGCGGGACGCCACGAAAACCACCCCCTGGGGACCGCCCTCCCTGGGGTGACCGGTGGCCCGGGCAGGGACAGCTTGGTGAGGGGGCCATGACTGCACAGGGCCGTGTGGGTCCTCCGGAAGGAGGTAGCCTCCTGGTTATCTGTCTGGCTCTTAAACGACTGGACCCTCTGATGGGGTCTGTGGAAGAGCCACCAGCTCTGTAACAAGCACTTCTGAACTCGCGCCTTTGCTTGATGGCAGCCCCCAGAGATGCCCCAGCGCGTCTTTGCATTTGAGACGGAAGTCCCGTGGTCTCGGGGCGCCCCCGGCTGGCGGGTGGCACCAGGTCAGGGTTCGGGGCCTCCGCGGGCCACACTGTCCACAAGTGCTACCAGCCGCGCGTGGGCGTTGGGAACAAATTGCTGAACCGACGGGTTGTGTAACCAGCCTTCCTCGGGGAAGGGGCCCGAGTAGGGGGTGGGTAGAGGCGAGGCGCGGCCTGGGGGGGCTGGCACTCAGAGGGGAGGCAGGCAGCCCCGCGGCGCCTCCCCGGGACTCCCCGGGGGCAGGTGGACAGCGGCCTCGCAGAGCAGCAGGCGTCCCTGGGGGAGGGTGTGGACTTCGAGGAGGAAGGGCACAGGAGCGTCATCGCCCTGAAGACTCAGGCCAGTCGGGGCCTCGGAGATTTCTATGGAAGCCGGGGCCACCCCAGGAGCTGAAAGTGGCCGGTGGAGAATCAAAGGGAGAAGGGCCCAGAGGACTCGACCGAAACCGAGGAGATGCCTGAACTGTGCGCGTGTTTCGAACACCGCGAAGCTTTGGCGTTTGGATGGAATGTGCCACAAAATGCCACTTCTGGTCAACAGCATCCCTTTGTTGGGAGACGGGACCTGTGGCAGTGTCTCTGCCCACCTCCACGATCACCCCACCTCTGCTCACCCCCACGGTCGCCCCCGCGGTCGCCCCACCCCCTACCCTTCCCCGCACTCGCCCCCGCAGTCACCCCTTCCCCCTCCTCACCCCCACAACCAGCCGCAGCTGCTCCCGCGTGGGCAGCTGCACCAGGACGTCCCTGGGTTCCGTGGTCATCCCGCCGTCTTAGGGGCTCTGGTGGCTGCACCAGGCTCTCAGGAGGACCCGGCCCCCTCCACGGCCTCCTGCGGGGAAGGACTGGTCAGGGGCGCAGCCGGCGGGGAGGGGCTGAGCTTCGGAGCGCCTGTGCACCAGCCAGGTGTCACCGCCACCTGTGGGGCCCTCCCCAGCCACCTGGCCACGGGTGGGGAACGTGACAGCCCAGACTCACCCGGATTCAGGTTTTCTGGGGACCGGGCACCTTGCTAACTCCTGGCTGGGAAATGAGTGGAAGCCGAGCGGGGCCAGAAATCCAGCCACTGGCTGGGCCGGGACAAGGTCCAGGCTCATAAATAGCTGTGCAGGTAGATTGGAATGCAAATAAACAGTGTCAGGCGGGCCCGCCCTCCCCTCCCCGGCCTCCAGCTGCCTCTCCTCCCCCAGGGACCACCTCACAGCTCCCCTCGGCCCCAGCCAGCACGGCCCCCTCCTTTCCAGGGACCAGAAGAGATGTCTCGTAAAAGCCCACGACAACACGAAAGCCAGGAGGAGGATCACTGCGCAGGTTCCTGCAGGAGCTGGAGGGAGAGAGAGCGCAGAGCCCGCCGAGCACCCCCAGCCCAGAAAGGCACCTCGGGGACCGGGGTCGGGGGATGGGGCGCATGCCCAGGTCCCCTGTGGCCCCCTCCTGCGGAGGGATTGAATGATCACTGTTCCCTAAACAGATCCCACTCGTCCCCTTTAGCGGCAGACGCTGGTGTTAGTTCTGTGCCGGCTCCTGGCCCAGGGTCGCCTGCCCCAAGGTGAGTGACACCTGTGATAGGTGAGGGCGGGGAAGCCACTGCCTGTAAACCCTGCCCCTGTGGGAAGACCCGGCTGGGCTCAGGCTGGGATCAAAGTCTCCAGGTGCCCTTGTTCTGCAGAATCGGCCAGCAGGAGGCGCTGCTGTTACTGGGGCGGCCAGGGGTCCCGGGAACGCGGTTCCTGCTGCGCCCCATCTGCCCTCGCCCTATAGGTGCTGGTGGTCTGGGCCCCTTCGCCCAGGCTGGGGCCCTGGGGGCTCCGTGCGAATCTGAGTGGCCGCTGCCTGAGCTCTCTCCAGATCGGATGCAAAGCTATTCATCATCGGACACACGTATGTCCTTTCAGGAGGCAAGTTAACAATTTTAATTAAAAAATTTTTTAATGTTTATTTATTTTCGAGAGACAGAGTGAGACCAAACACGAGGGAGGGAGGGGCAGAGGAAGGGAGACAGAATCCCAAGCAGGCTCCAGGCTCCGAGCTGTCAGCACAGAGCCCGACTCGGGGCTCGAACCCAGGAACCGTGAGATCATGACCTGAGCGGAAATCAGGCACTCAGCCGACTGAGCCACCCAGACGCCCCGCAATTTGACAATTTTTAAAAGGCAAGTAGCCCCCGTGAACAGATGGTCGATTTCATGATATTCACTGCCTTCCGGTGGCCTGTGACCCCCTGCCTCACGGTCACCAGGGCCGCGTGGCGACGAAGAACGCTGGAGCTGCTCCTTTCCAGGAGCGTCGGGGCGCACGACAGGACTCCGCAAAGCTCACACGTGCACACGTGCGCACACGGCCCGGGCAGCAGCAGGCCTGGGACGCGGAGGCGGTGGCGGCGGGGGGGAGGGAGGGCTGAGAGCCGGTGTCAGCATCCCGCGCAGCGGGCGCTCAGAGCCGTGGCGCACCGGGCCTCAGCTTTCTCCCCCGTACAGTGAGGGTGACGTTGCCCCCACCTGTTGTGAGGGGCTGGCCATGTTTTACGGGACATTGGCAGATGCGCTTTAAACACCCCTAGTGAGGAAAAAAAGGGAGAGGAAAAGCAGCCCCGTGTCCCTGCCAATAGACGGGACTACGGGGTTCTCACCGAGATGGAAAGCCCCCGCCCACCTGCCTCCCACGGCTCCCTCCCGGTGGAGGCTGCGTGACGTCATCAAGGCGTGGGAGGTCATTTCCTGGATACGCTGCTGGGTCCTCAGCCCCCTCCCACTGTCCCCCCGCTGTCCTCCTTTGGAAAACACGTGTGGCAAGTCCCCAAAATAAACCCGCTTCTAAACACTTAACTGTCTCCCAGACACTCGCATGGCGGAGGGGCGGGGGCGGGGAGCGCAGGGGAGGAGGCAGCTCCCCTCCACCCTGGACCCTCCCTCCTGGCGGCCCTGCCGGCCCCTCGCAGGCCACACTCGGCGTTGGTCTCTGCCTAGGTCTCCCCGTGCTGGAGACTGGCTTCCGTCCTCTGGCACAAGGGGGGTCCACTGACCATGTTCTGAAAACAAAGCTCCGGAAAGGTGAGTCCCTCCAGTACGTGCTTCACAAGCGGAGCGGGCGCACCGTTCAGCGATGCCAGGGAGCAGGGTGCTGGTATGTGGGCGTCAGGCATACCCTGCTGCCCGGAGGCCGCACTCTGTGGGGCTCCGCGAACAGGCAGCACCCACGGAGCGGCCAGTAGGCCTGCGGCCACCCGGGCGGGAGCTCCGCACACGGGCACGCGGTCTCCCTCCCGTGTGATGGGGACGCCGCACGCCTAGGTGGTGGCGGTGGCACAGCTCTGGGATCAAGTAACACGCGTTACGTCGTTCGCTTCAAACGAATGCATTTTCTGGTATTCAAGTCATAACCCAGTAAAGCGTCAACGTACATAACAGGTTCTAAAGTCCCAGCAGACCCACCGATCACTCGACAGGGGGCAGGAGTGCACGCGCCGCCACGGCCGTGACCCCGCCCGGCAGGCACGTCGCGGGCACACGCGGGGGGAATGCACGGCCTCGGTGGCAGAGGACCCTGGGCTGCCGGCACCCTGCACGCCTGGCCACACCGGCCGCCCTTTCCCACGCCTCCCCTGGCCCCTTACTGGGCTGGTTTGCTTATGGTCATGAGGAGCCACGTGAGGGCTGAGCACTGAGTTCAGAGGTCACACCGCTGAGTTAGGGGCTGGCCACCCCTCACCTGTGCCCCACCGCCCGGCTCGCGCGTGCTCTGTGTCACCCGCAGAGCGTCACCCTGCCCCCGTGGGGGTCCTCACAGCTCCTGTGGGCCCGGGACAGCCTCGCTTGCTCATTTTATGAGTAGGGAAACAGAGGCACAGAAAGCAAAGAGGCTTGTCCAGAGCCCCGGCTACCGCACTGCTAGGGCCCAGAGCTGCCGAGAACTTTCTGGAACCACGTGGAAAGTACTTGTGGTTAACAACTCTGGAACGGGGAGGTCAGCACTTTGGAAAGCACAGGACATCTGCAGGGCGCGGGGGCAGGGCGGGCGGGGGCTCCTGGTGCCCGAAAGGGCAGGGAAGAGCCGGCCAAGGAAAGGAAAGGGCAGCTGGGAGGCTCCGCGTGACCACGCAGGGCTGTGTTTTGCTTGCTGCCTGGTCAGGACCCTTGACCTCAATTAAAACCTGCAGCCCAGCAGCCGGGCACGCGGGAGGCCGGTGTGGCCAGAGCCGGCCCTTCTTTCCACCGACGTGCCTGCTGCCTTGCCCCTCCCCCTCCCCCGACCTCTGTGCGGTTTCCTGGGTGATGTGCTTCGGGGACACCGCGCAGTCTTGGACAGACCCCCGTGTCTTCCTGTGCCAAGCGGCAAGCACTGCCCCCCCCCCCC